GTTTATTGAACAGTTAGAAAATGAATAATTTTCCAGAGTATGGCATCGTTTTTAAAGGCGAACATATCATCAACATCGGCAAAAACGAAAAAGAACAGCTTCACTCATCATTCAACTGTGCTTGGCAGTGTTTTCTACTTACTGGCAATGGCCTTTCGACAACATGGCATGTGAACCGTGTTCAAATTAGTCAAAGTCGGCATCATTATATTTAAGTCGGTAAGCATGTGTGACGATAGCAAACCACGACCTGTGTGCCCTGACGACAACATCACACCAATGTTCAAAAGCAATCATTAATTTTTATTCCATTCATTCATTATTTCTCATTCTTTCACACATTCACACGCAGACAAGGCACATCAGAATTGCAAGTAAATGAGACAGGCTGCGAGAAAATTAAAATTGTTTTTTCCCCATTCTCATAATACACGATTAATATCGTTTCATGCTATCCAATATTTTTGATATTACAGCCAATGGTATTTTTTTTCGGATGGTAATGGCACCAAAAAAAGAGCGCCAACGAAATACATTTGTACACTGGCCATTTTCCGTCAATTTTCACACTCAAAAATATATTTGGTCTCTGAGGCATAACAAAGCAGTGAATGAAAAAAAGTGATGTGGAGAAAAGCAGCCACTAATGTGGCCAAACGCAAGTGCACAATAACCGGTCGGTCACAAAGCAGAAAAAAATACATACTTTTTTTCTATTGACTACAAATAGAAAAGTTAAAATGTGCTATGTACTGTCTCACTCTATCTTGTTTGCTTTCTTTCTTTCTTTCGTTTGGGAAAAACACACGGACAACACATTCATCGACTAATGGATCGATGATGTTTCAATCAAAAACAGACGATACGCGTTGCGGTTTTGGTATTTCGATCGGTCCAAAATTTTACTCCATGCGAATCGAGAGAAAATGTTCTCGTAACGATTTACCACATGATTGGTTGGGAACTAGTTAAATTGAAATTAATATATTATTCAAGGGGAATGCGAAAACCAAAGTGCCAAAATTCTTTTTTATTTCGTGCAAATAACACACCAACACACACACAATGCGTATGGTTGGGAGCATCGATTGGTGGAGCACACAACCACTGTGCGCACAACACACACACAAAAACAATTGAATCGGCCCTTTTGTTGTCTGCTTTCGCTTACACCATTCATTGCATGTTCAAATCAATTATCCAAAACACTTTATGATTCTGGTATCGGTCAAAGCTTCTGCTATTGCTGCAAAACATCAAGCGCACACGATATACACATACACACACCGTTTTGTTGAGTTATTAGTATATATCATTGTGTAAAATGTGACGATGAAAAAGATGAGGTGCTTGCGTTTCAAGTGAATTACACCAGAAGGGATGTATTGCTTCAATAATCATCGTCGGATACGATCCATTGCCATCGTCGTCGCATTCAAATGAGGATATTGTGATTGATTGAAAATGTGTGCTTTCGTCTATGTTTTTGCTCCAATTTGCTCTCTCATCATCGTCAAAGATAGACAGAGACAGAGATGGAGAGGGAGAGACAAAGACAGAGGTGGAGAGAGAGAGAGAAACAAAAGATATTGAGAGAATTTGTCGAACGAGTTATCTGTAGACATGCTCCCCAAACAATAATAACAAAAATACAGCGACGAAATTTAATGTATCGAAAATGTGAATTATTATTTCGGTATGCACGAGTGCGTATGTAAAATAAAAAAGATTAACGGTGTGTTCGTATAATGATGTGAACAATATACCCTCGACAAAAATAAAAAGAACAGAAAAAAAAAGATTGTGTACATGAAAGATGTGTGGATTTGTAAGGTGTCTTCATTTTTCTGCTTCGTGAATTTTTGTGAATGGTTTTGTCGTATGCCAAAATATACACTTTTGATGACAATGGCGCACTCGTGGAATCATTTATCATTTATTGTTGGAGCGTTGCAAAAAGATTGAGAGAGATTATAGAATTCTTTTCTCAATTTTCTCAATCGAAAATGATATGCCAACGCACGAGCGCATTACACCTCAACGAAAAAAAAAAACTTATCCCGCATATTCGAAACGAAATTGTAAAGTGTTAGAGAGTTTGAACGAGATTGATTATATTATTGGAAGTTAGTAGTGGATTATTCTAGAAAATGAGAAAAAATAATCTAGCTAGATATAAGCACACTGCTTACCAGCAGATAGATTGAAATTTACTTGTATTTCCGTTGCTCGAAGGCAACCATATATTGCATACACTTTGATACCAGTACTCAAACTCAGCACGACTAATTGAAAAATCACGAGAAAAAAAACGTTCTCGCCTATTACTTGCTCTTGCTCGCATTCATTTTTTTCCCTTTTTCACGCTGTAAACGAGAGCGTTTATTATATTAATTTCTAATTGAAACGAGAAACGTATGTAACGATGACCTGACTGTATACATATTATCTGGTCCAGTGAAATGTTGTTCACTAAAGTGGCACAATGCAAGAGAGCAAAAAAAGGAAGGAATTGAAAAGAGCAGCAATCTTGTTATTATCGGTGCGATTATCATGATTATTATTATTGATGATATCGAATACGAATCGAACGATGATAAGAACAAAACAGAACATATAATAATAACGAAAACGATGACAGTGCAGATGGAAGGAGACGAAGAGAAATAATTGATTGACTTGATTCACTTACCTGGAAAAGGGCTTGGTCGATTTTCGCATTGGCCGGTATTTGAACTTTGTAGAATTTCTGGTCGAATTCTGGTGAATGATCGTTGATATCGTCGACAGTGATGACAATACGTGTGGTCGACGATAACTGCGGAATACCGTTATCTGTTAACATGACCTATCGAAATACATAAAATAAAATGTTTCATATAATAACATTGTCGTTAATATATCGAAATGGAGTGGCAACAACATATTCAATTACAGAGCAACAATCTTTAAATATTAAATACAGCGTGCCAAAAACAACGAGAAAATTGGTTGGCATTTCAATTTATGACGTTCATTAAACACGCTATATAAAGAATCGTGTCCCGTTTTGAGTTTGTCTCGAATATCAGTGAAACCTATGACTGCATATAGGATTTAGTGAAGGTATCAATAATAAATGGATTTTTGGAACTTCGGGGTGTACAAGGGTGTCTTTTAGGGGGTCAAAATTTGAACTGATATACCTTATGTTATTAATCAATGGAATCGTATGATATAAACTTTAGCCCCGCCCAGAACCCCCTTGAAAACCTCGGGGAATCAAAAATACTTTTATTATTGAATCAATAATATTGATATCCACACGACACTCTATATCAAGCAGGTATAGGTCTCGATGATGTTCGCGACAACAGCTCAGACTTCCAAAAAACGGGACACAGTTCTTTCATGACTTCAACATAGACGATTTTTTCCATTTTCTCGACAAATCTTATTCCTATTTTTTACAAAAGAGAAAGTCTTTGCACACAAAAAATGTGATTGATCATTTTTGCACTTTGGTGGCATTGCGCACTTTAAGTGTGGCAAATTGTTTGGTTTTTACCATACAAAAATGTGGAAAACATGTATTTCAATACATTTTGTTTGCTATGAGATTACTAATTTGACTGTTATAGTATTTTTCGATATCGAAATTCGTGCCGGTTAATAAATACGCATGAAAACAAATAGCATATTTGTGTTAATCTAACAATGGTATTATATTACCTTATCTTTTGGTTTGGCTTTACGTTTACTTCGATCGACGAAACCATAAATGTGACTGAATTAACAAATGACAGAATCAGGTCAAAATAAGAAAAAAAAATACGAACAATATAGTAAAAAAAGCACACGCTCGCTTTCCGAAGAAGCTACAAATTATTCATATCAAATGAAAGGAACGCGCGCGCAATGATTGTATATTCTTGACTAAAAATGGCATGACAGCCAAACGACACTGAATTGTACAAAAAAGAGAGATAAAACAGAGTTTGAAATTGATTTGAACGTCAAACGTAACGTTTTTCGTATATGCAGTGGCAAACAACATACATGCCAAACAGGGAAGTAAACAACATGCTCAAGAAAATTGATTGCCTTTACTTCTTGCTATAGAGCAAACATATATCAAAATCGAAGCGCCCACCAGATATAGGCATCCCTTGTGCGCCATTCATATCACACCGAATCACGTGTGTGTATGTGTGTGCGAGAAAAGAGTGAAATATACAATTATAATCATCATCAAAGTTTGATCAAATAAAATGAGACTGGAAGGAAGAGTAGAAAAAATCGTCCATGTTTCGAAAAGTCATATATAAAAAAGAGTACAGAATATAAAAGCATGCCTTACCTCAAGTATGTGCTCTGATTGATTTTCCCGATCCAATTTGCGTGCAGTCGTTGTTATTAATCCTGAAAAGAGTTGCATTTATAGAAGGAGTTTGTTGGAGTTACAACAACAACAAATCATATGTCGTTCATTCATTTCGTCATTGCTTATTTGTTTTTTTTTTTTTAATTCGATGAGTGTGTGTATGCAGTTTATGTTTTGAGTGTAGCACGCTACATCTCATGTAATGCTTTATCGTACGGCGAACAAAAGTGAAAAAGAGACAGCCAGAGGTAATTGTGTTAGACAGCCAAACAAAAAAGGCGGCATTTTTATTGTGATCGAGATTATGTAAGTACATTTAGAATGGGTTTTGTGTGTGTATGTGTTCTGTGTTTACAAATGGAAAATCAATTCAATTTGTTCCCGTTGTCGGGTGTTGTATGCATAAATTCAATCAACGCGGCCAATCAAAGCACACACACAAACTAGTGAGCATCGAGAAATTGCTCAACTAAATCGCTTTTGCGTGGCACTCACTACTGAAGCAAAGAGCAAATTGGCAAAGTGTGAGCGCGCACAAAAGCAAGAGAAATCAATGAGAGAAAGAGAGAAAACGGAAGCCATTTCATACCGGGGACATGCAACAAAGTCTTTTTCGAATGTGTTTAATAGTTTAATACTATCGATGTGAAACGCTCATAAATGTAATAGTAGTGGCTTTTGTAACGGTTGACGACTGGCGACTGCCAACTCTATTCCGAACTGCACTCCTTGCAAAATGTAAAGTTTGTTCATCGTTCTGTATTTCGATGTGTGTGTATGTATGTTATTCGTGTTTGCTATTGTTGTTTGGCCATCAAATCCAATAATAACTTTCATATGCTTGTTTGATGGCTCGGAAATATATGCGAAAGTTTAATGAATTTCTCGACATGCGTCTGTACATTATGTTCAAGGCTTTGCTATCGTGCAAAACGATACTTGTATGTAAAAGCATATACATGATATATGTCATGTCATGCCATCCACCACCATATGCGAATGGTGTGTGTGTGTGTGTGTGTTTTTTTTTGGTGCGATGCAAAAGCTTCGAGAAAAGTGTACAATGAAAAGAATTGGAGAGAGAGAACACAAAAAAAGTGAGCAACAACAACACAATACCGAGTGAGAAAACTGCGTACACATTTGTGAAACGTATTCACTTTGAAATTTATTGAACAACGGTGTAACAACTGTGTTCTCAACTCGGGAAAATTATATACACATATATATATATTATGTATGAGCGCAACAAGTGCCTTAAAAGCCTATTTTGCATCTAGTAGATGATATATTGAAAAAAAAAAATTATGAAAACTTTGTGTACAATAGACCAATAGCCACGCACTCAAGCCAATGGATGGTCGAATAATAATAATAAATTCCAACAGCAGAGAAAAAAAAGCGCTCAACAATTTTCCCTCCACACATAAGCATAACATTTTGTGGTTGAATTTGAAGCCGAATACAATGAAGGGAAGGAAAAATAAATGAAAAACACGTCGGCCGTTTTTATGACCGCATAAACTTTTATAAAACTGCGTAATTTCATTTAATTGATTCGAAATGAGTTTCAACAACGTTCAATATTTTATTCACCATTTAATGTCGCAACGCACAACATGAGCATGCATCTAACAAATTGACTCACTGTATGCGGTATTTCCGAAATGATTCGTTCGGTCATAAATTTTAATTTTGGCATCGTTCATATTTTTTTTCTTCTTCTTTGAATATATGAACAGTGGAAAAAAATGCGAACATCAAAAGCAGAGTGTAATTCATCATTTAGAAGTTTAAACATGTTTGAACAATGAACAAACCGCAAAAATCATCATTTTGGTCTTTTGACAGGTGCACTTCGTTTTAAAAGAAAAAAGTGAAAAAGTGAAAATAAAATCAAATTTTCTTAAAACATTTCCATTTCGAATAACTCGAATTCAATTCAGGGTAAAATCCATTATTTATCTTGAAGTTTTTCAACCATGCTGACTTCAATTGAAAAAATGTTACTTCTCCATATATTTATTTAGCACATTGTGAATTGAAAGCGTGCGTCCTCTATTTTCACAATACATAAATGGTTCGCAAATTCGTTTTATTGCAATAATATGGTAAAATAAACATGAGAGAGAAAATACACGTAGATCTAGAGCTTAGAGAATGACACAATTTTAAAAGAGCTTTCTCTGTGGAAGAGTGATAGTGACACAAAAAAAAAATCTGAAGAAAGAGAAAGAAAATCGTGCTCTCTATATACACAAACTGTAGATTCGGGAAATTGGTTGTTGATGCTGAATTGTTGAGTACGTTCTCTTTTATTACTCATACCATGTGTTGCGATGTGTCGTATGCGTTAATTCTTTATTTCGATTTGCAAACGAAACATTTTGTCATGCATACAGGAAGCTACACACAGCACTGATACAAAAATAACAATTTCCGAAAAATAATCGGAAGTAAAGTTTTTCACTAATTTTTGCCGCGTTTTATCATCGTTTTCATATCATCGTATCTGGATGTACATATTTTCTATTATTATTATTATTACATATTGCTTTTCCCGCCGTGTAAATATATAAGTATCAATCGTGTCGTATTTTCGTGATGTTTTCTATATTGCATAGCTTATTTTGCAATTTTGTATTTTGAATAAGCACTTTTGATAAAGAGTAAAGCAAAGTGGTTCTTGAAAATTGTAGATAAAATAAAAATCCTTAGCTAAATGCATGGAAAAAGAAGGGCGTTTTTTGTTGTTGCTCGACAATGTTCACCGCACCGGCAAAACATCAAATATTTTACGAAAATATACACACACACGTTTAGGTTACATTTTTGCAGCGACACTCAAAAACGAATCTCATCCGAAATGGATGTATGAGAACATAAGATAGGATGTAAGAGAACGAGACACAGTGAGAAATCGTCATTTGCATGGCTAACGAATGAAAATCCTTAATATTCAATTTTCATACTTATTGTTTAACGTTTACATTTTGATTGCGGAATATTTCGAAATAAGACATTCAATTAAATGCATTGAATAAACACACACACATACACACATACAATATTTTCGCAAATTCAGATTATTTTATCATTAAATTCCACATTATTGTTATTACGTTATTTTGTTTTCACAATTCGACGCTTGGTACTGCTTTCTCAACATAATCATGGTCGTTATCATCGTCGGAGTCATCATTGTCGTCTACCTGATTCATTTTTATCTCTTCGAAGTGAAAACGTTAATTTTACTTGACGATGACGCCGCTGCGACAACAAAAACAAATAAAAAAAACCAACGACACTTTTATGAAAATGTACATGTATGAAGTAGTCCCATAATGTGAAATAAAATCCATTTATAAAAGTATACATTTGCACAATATCATTTTGGTTGGGCGCACATTTTCGCCACACACGTGTGTGAGTCGTCTGCCAGAAACATTGTAGAGCAGTGAAAGAGCGAGAACGATAGACTCAAGCATCAACATGAACAAAATAGCGGATCAAGTGAATAAATGAATGAACGATGAGATACATTGTTTAAATAACACTTTGTTTACTTACCACTACTGCTGTTTATGGCGAAAAATCCCTCTGGATTTCCCGACGTAATACGATATGTTATTTTTTGTTGTGGATCATTATCACCATCTTCAGCAATTAATTGCAACACTTTCACACCAGCTGGACTACTTTCGACCACCGATGGATAATAAACGGGATGCTCGGTTAATGGAGCATTGTCATTAACATTTTCGATTTGAATGAACACCTGAAAAATGAAAATTTATCAGCAAAAATGTACACATTTTTTTTTGGTTTGTTTGCACTACAATTAATCCACAAACACAAACATTTCTGTGTGTGAACACGTACACACATGCACATAAACACTTGCACACATACATACATAAAAAAAACGAAACTTATTTATTGCCATTGCACTAAATTTCCAATAAATAAAAGCAAGAACACTGATGCCATTGCTTTTGCTTGCACATAGATCTAAAAGTTAGTTTTTGGAAATTCTTTCATGTATATGTGCTATGTATATTGGTGCATGTAAGTATTGCGTCTCAACGGAAAACTTGAAATATCGTAATGACTGAATTGTTGAACATAGTTCAATACGTCTGATATTGGAAAAGTTTTGTCTGCCGAACATTTTTTTTACGCTTACGAATCGAAGTGAATGCCGAAAAAAAGGTATATAAAGAAATATTAACAACACGAATGTAAGCCAAACTTTACCTCAACGCATGAGTACAGAGGAACAACTGCTTGATCTTGGGCGCATACAGTTAGCCAATAGTGTGGTTTTGTTTCCAAATCTAGAATGCACGTCGTTCGTATTGCACCTGTAAAAAGATTTTTTCAACATATATATATCAATATAAAATATCTATAAACATCTATATACACGTAACAACCCAAATAAAATTGGCGTAAAATAATTTCACATAGTTGACAACTTTACACGTTTTTTCGTTTGGTTTTTTTGCCCAATTCATTGAGGCATAGGACCTCATTTTGTTTGAGAGAGAACAAAGAGCAAGATATTGGAAAAATTTGAAAAAACTTATAAACAAAAAGAACATATAAAATCGAAACATTGAAAATCGAAAAAAAGCGATAAAAGGAAATAATCTGGTTTACCTTCGTTATCAATGGTGAAAATGCCAAGTCCATCACCGCCTCGGATCGAATATGAAATGCGTGAATCAGGACCTGGAGCATCAGCATCTTTGGCTTGGACAATCATAACATGGGTGCCAGCCGGTTGATTTTCTGCCACGCTTCCGCTCAATACAAAATCATCAAATTGTGGTGCAAATCGATTTTCGTTCACATCAATAATTTCAATAATGACCGATGTTTCCGATGATATAGCTGGCGTACCACGGTCTATTGCACGAACCGTTAAACTATGAATTTGCCGTTCTTCAAAGTCTAATGCTTTTATCGTTCGTATTGTTCCCGTATATTTATCAATTTTAAAACTATGATCAATATCATCACTAAGACTGTACATAACTTCACCGCCTGGTCCCGAATCTAAATCGGTTGCCGTTGTAATTGCAATCACCGAATGCACTGGTATATCCTCACGAATACGAATATTATACTCTTTAAGGCTAAATTCGGGCGCATTATCATTTACATCTTCAACGATAACACGAACAATTGCATCCGAAAATAATTGCGGTTGATCTCGCTTTTGACCATTGTCTGATGCACGAATTTGTAATTCATATAATTCTTGGCGTTCACGATCCAACGGCGATGCAATGAATAAAACGCCCGTTTCGCTATCAATCCGAAAATCGTTTGTATCGGTGACAAGTGAATAGGTGATTCGTGCATTTTCACCCATATCAGCATCGGTTGCATTCAATCGTAATATGATGGTGCCATTTAATGCATTTTCGGTAATACGAAAGCTAGCCAATGTTTTTTCAAATATTGGTGCATTATCATTTTCATCGAGCACCACCACCGGCAACACTTTTGATGCGGTTTTTTGTGGATTTCCCAAATCATAAATGGTTACATTCAAAACATACTCATCGGTTCGTTCGCGGTCTAAATAACCAATGATTTTTAATTCACCCGTTTCGGGATCCAAACGAAACACTGAATCATTGTCACCACTCGAAATGCCAAACACAATTTTACCTAATTTAAAATAATATATTTAGAGTAAAAATGACAATTGAAAATACAGTAAGTTATGACTATAATTAATAGAGTTTTCATTTACCATTGTAACCGAGATCGCGGTCACGAGCTTTTATCCAAGTTACCGTTGTTCCTAATCGAACGGTTTCGTTTATGAATATCTGAAATATTACGCCAAAATGGTGTTTATCATTCTTTTTTTGTTGGAAATATCAACTTATTTCTAATAAGAAATATTGCCAAAAATACACAATTTAAATGAAACATACTTAATTAACAGAAATAGAAAGAACAAAAAATGTAAAAAGCCTCACCTCATTTGGAAATTCAATGAATTCAGGTGCATGAACATTTTCGCCGTATCGAATGGGCATCATCGGTAATTCTTCACTATTATTTGTATCCGTACCGCTTCCAATCATATTGTTTGTTTCAGCTAATGCGAGCATTTCGGCGTGTCGTCTTGCGACGCCCGTCTCTTTACATTGAAATGAACCTGTTGAACCGGCAGCTCCGTATCTATTGCTATTCTTGCCATAATTTTTTCCCAAATCACTAAATGGCATTGTATTCTTTGTATTATTTACTAAATGTATTTCGATCGGCATTACATCGGCAAAATGATGACCATCCGTTGCCGTAACATTGATGAATCGTTGTTCAACGCGAACATCATTCAAATCGCAACCAACCGATATGGTACCGGAAGTGGCATCAATATTAAAGCATCCATCTTCATTACCCGACACAAGACGATAGCTAATAAAATTGTCCGCATCAAAATCAACAGCCGACAATGTTAGTATTTCGGTTCCGATTGATGCATAACGTGGTACACTTCCAACACAATCAATGCGCTCAAATTGTGGCCGATTGTCATTGACGTCACGCACTTTGATGGTGAGCGACATTTCAGTTTGTCGTCGATATGGTAAGCCCCAATCACTGGCCCGTACTTTTAACACATATTCACGTCTCATTGATTCGTAATCAATGAGCTTGGATGTTCGTACATTACCCGAAAAATGATCGATATCAAATGGTACTTCATTTAAATTCGCCAAACTGTATGATATGTATGCATTTTCACCACTATCACGATCTTTGGCCGATACTTTTGTTACACTTGTGCCGGCCGGTTCATTTTCATCCACCCAAATTGTCATATTTGCTTGTTCAAATACCGGATCATTGTCGTTTGTGTCTTGAATGTTAATTTTAACTTTGGCCGATGATTGTTTTCGTGTTCCTGTGTTGCCTTGATCAATGGCCGACACCGTAAGCGTATAAAATGCTTTCAATTCAGCATCCAATGGAACGGCTGTATATAACATGCCCGTTTCAGCATTTACACGAAATTCACCACCTTCATTGCCACCAACTATTTCCAATGAAACCATTGCATTTTTACCCTCATCGCGATCGGTCACTTTGAGACGAATTACTGGTGAATTCGGTGGCGATGTTTCTAGTACGGAAACTTCGTAAATTTCACGATTGAATACGGGCGCTGCACCGAAAAAACGAGAAAAAGAACATGTTGAGTACAAAAAAGAACGGAATATACATTTTTTTTTTAATTTTCACAATGTTTTGGCGCAATGCCTACTACTGCATTAGCCACACACACACTCATGTTTATTGCCAAAGGATATATGGTTTGTATATTTTCAAAAATTAAAGTCCTAAAAACTTATAATGAAAAACGGAGATAGAGGGAGAGTGGTCTCTCTGTGTGTACAACAGAGCATGAAATCGTCACTTCTGCCAAGAACACTAAACGCTTTTGTGATAAGTAAACGCGTTGCTTCATAAATGTTCTGATTTCATGCTCTGGTGTACAAGGGAACCCTTTTGGAAAAAATGACACGAATTTGTTACGCGTTTTACCTGCATCGTTTCGGTAAAGTGGCGATTTCTACAAGTACATTAAATTTCAATTACTCACCATTGTCGTTTGTGTCAGCCAAACGAACGGGAATCACTTTGTAGCTTTGTTGTGGTGGTGTTCCGCAATCCACAGCGCGTAGTGTTAAATTATAGCCATTTGGTGTACGTTCGCGATCCAATAGACGATGCACTTCAATGTTGTATTCGCCCAGATTCGATGTGGGCCGTATACGAAAATGGCCGTCCGGGTCACCATCAACAATGTCTAAAATCTTTATTTTACCATGAATACCAATGTCTTTGTCATCGACACGAACAATCCCATAGATATTTGCATGTGAATTTTCTAAAATGTCAGGCAATGCTTGCACATAAATTTCCGGTGCATGTAGATTAACCTGTTCAACCATAATGGATGAGAAAGAATAACGAGAGAAATAGAGAAAATTGTGAAAGAGTGAAACAGAGAAAAAGAAAACATGCACAAAATCAGTAAAATGAATGTTTGCTATAATAAAAGGTCGTATATATGAAAATGTTCGTGTATGTGAGCATAGAGAACGGGCGCGGGAGAGCGCGCGCATCATACAAAATTCAAAACTGCACAAATGTGTGCATGCATAGAACATGAAAGATATAGTAACAACGAGGACAGAATACACATTGCACATAGACACACACATGCTCACACACACACAGAGAGAGAGAGAGAGACCCAACACAGAAAGAGCTAAAGTTTAAATGGTAAAATGATAAAATGTCGAATTATTAATGCGAATCCAGACGATGCGGTTTGGTTTTGTTCAACGATGAACAAAGCGATTGTTGTCGCTTTGTGAACAACGGAGCATATAAAATGCGAAATGGTTGTTAGTTCGTCGTTTTTCGAAACCAAACAAAATGCAACATTGAACGAAATCTAATGTGTATGTTCTCGTGCAGAAAATGTGCGAATGCGCGCCAATCGCACTCAAGCCATGCGTTTCATATATATATATTCAAAAGTTCACGACGAATCCATTGATTATGTGCCTATTTTCTTTATGCTCTTGTGACAAGCAAGAGCGCAACGAGGTTTTACGATTGTAAATGCGCACACACATTCATTCATGTGTTGAAATAATATATGGCCAATCTATGGAGTTGGTTTGTTGGTGGAATACTGTAATAAGCTGAAAATACAGCTTGTCAAATGACGAAAAGCATGAAGTAGAGAAGAAAAAAACCAGAAAAGAATATTCGTTGTTTTTTTGAACGCGTATTTTTCGCTTCGATATGTGTTTTTTTTCGTTCAATCACAATATTTTGTTTCATGTTTTCTTCGGTTGGGTTTCGATGCAAGGGAGCAAAACTAGTACGATAGCAATATATATATTTGCAATCAGAAGCACTTTCAAACGCATTTACAATTTAAAATAAATTTCCTACAAAAGAAATGCGAAAAATATGAATCAACTTGAGCTCGAGCTCTATTCAAATCGCCAAATGCGACCGTTGTTGAATATATCGAAATATATTAAATCTCTATATGTGAATGGTGTTCATACACACTCAATTCACTATCTATTTTCATTCAGCTTTTTCCATGGTGAATGTAGCGCCTGTTTGCCTGCCATTATGAGCGCATTGAACAGGTTTGTAAAGTGCATTGAGCTTTAATATCGGTAATAAATATATTTTTTCATTTTGTTCGCATGTTCTCTTTTGCATAGAGTGTGTGTATGTTTATGGTTTGCAGGCATGTTGTTTCAGCTGCAGTGATACAATGTACAGTTTTTAGTTTGAGCTCTCAATAGTTTCTTCTATCGTATGAAGAAAAAAAAAGTTCAATAAAACCGGCCGAAACCGTGAGATGTGCAAATGCTGGCTCCCCCCAAAAAAGACATAGAGATTTTGAGAAGAAGAAAACAAAATCAACATTTTATAGACACTCAAATATATGCAGATAGATAGATAGATAGCATTACACTCTCCAATTAATGCTCCACCCTACACATACCGGAAGATTTTATGGCTTGTTCTCGTAACTATGCTCTTTCGATATTTATAAATATACATAGTTTAGACGGTGTGTGATCTATGCGCCTTTCAAAACTATGATAACGCCAATATAAAAACCAAACTCTGGCCACATTAGCACCAGGCCATTCAGCCTGTTTGCAATTGTGTAATTCCATTGAATTATTATCGTTTGGCAAAATGGCATAGCACCGTCTTTTGCCGTTCTCTCTCTCTCCCTCTCACACTCACAGCACATTTATGATCAAGTCTTCCCACATAAACAAACCACCAGTCGGTCTGCCATTTTGCACTACACACGATATACCATATTCAAATCACAAACAACTCTACTCTGTTCGATAAAATCGTAAATCGTATTGAACCCAGTGAATCCATATTGCCATATATATACACTTTGCACATACACGTGCACACATACAGTACAAAAGTTATTTTTTTCAACTTTATCAATGTGAACCATTTTACCAGAATAAATGAATATTATGGCATGTGTGACTGTACAAAGGAACAAAAATATATATGCCATTTTCATCGTCGTCGTTGTGGTCGTTTCCATTGTATCTGCTATCACATAACATTTTCGCCACTACTTTGCGATCGATCGCTTGTTCGATTCAGTTCCGCGTATAATTAAGTATAATTTTCGGAAAATCAAATTCGTCAATCACAAACTGCCCGCCCACTGTCTTTCTTCTACTCGTTCGTCTACTCGTCATGACTCAGAAAATTCATGCGCCAGAATTTCGTTGCACATTGAAAATTAGTTTGTTTCGTTTACTTTGTGCATTGAAGCAACATCGAAACTCGAAAACTTCAAAACTTGTTCGAAATATGTGTTTGTGATGCAAAAATCGAATGACGAATACTCAATAAATCAATTGAAATATTGATTAACCTTTTTTTATGTTGGAAAAACCAAAAAAAAGGGAGAGAGCATGAAAAAAATAGTGTTTGTGAGATCGCAATCAATTGATTCTAATGAAATCACATGAAACGAATTTTGTGTGCAAATACAAAGGCGAATGTAATTACTTTAATTTGATGCACACGCGCCCAGATTTGAAATTCAATTATTCGTTTTTTTTTTCTGTTGCCTTTCTTCCGATTTCTGTATGTGTGCAATTGTGCATACTATGTTTGGCATGAATTTGTGTCAATTTTCTAGCACTCTTTCATTAGGAATGTTTTTTTGACAATCAATACCAGTATCAAATATAAGTGCATGCGACGATTGAATTTGTTTCTCTTTTACCAGTAAATAAAATTAATAACTTGATGCAAATTTACTCTATTCATGCTTATGCCTTCATTTTGTATGGCATCGCAGTTTTTGCTATATACTACAGCAATTGCTATTATTGCCACCTCATTTTAGGGATGGTTTGATTTCCTTCATTCGCCTCTTTTTATATAGCTATTGCCGATATGTGTTTGTATATTATTCACACGGAGTTTCGAGCAATGCTACCAATTTCGATGGATTTATGAGATGGTGTGTGTGCGTGTTGTTCGGTACGAACTTTCGGTGTGGATCAACTTAATTTTAAAACTAGTTCGATAACAAAAAGTGTACGAGCTCAGAAAGAAGAAAAATATATCGAGCAAAAGAGAGAGAGGGAGAGAAATAAAAATAAGAACAGCAACAGAGCAACCATAACCGACAAGAGCCAGATCAAGTAAATTAAAAGTTTTCAGATTTTAATGTGGATCATTTTCGTTCTTAATAAACTAAGAAGAACTAAGACAGATAACACACGGTTTAAATCCATTCACCGCCGCGCTGACGCACACACACTTTTATTCATTTTGCTATTCAATTCATATACATACTGCAAAATGCTTAACAATTTTGCAAAGGAAATTGCGCATTTTGTATGGGATGGTGTTGTGCGCCAGTGTTTCTAATAACATTGGATCTATTAAATGTGAACTTTTCGCGATTTTTAAGAAAAGTTGATCGTTGTCGAGGTGGTCCAATTGCATACATGTATTGCATTGCTCGCGTATACACACACACAAACTCTCAATCGGTTAATTTTCGCATTTGTGCCATCTTTTTTGCCCTGATTCTCTCTCTCTCTCTGTCATTCTCGTTGCACCATGCAATTGATTAAGTTAGATATCCAATAAAGCAAGATATGCGTACGCATATGTAAAAGTTGTTGAAGTCGTGCATTGCTCCTGTTGTTGCCTTTCGAAACAATTACCGATTTTATTAATTTTCTTGCATAAATTTATGCATAATAGATTCTTTAATGAAGATGATGGTTGGAAGAACAACACCCAAACTAAAAACGGTTTGAAGTGTCGCTCGTGCGTTCATCGTACATTTAGTATTCAAGTTACACCACTTGTAAACTATGCATAATGAGGCAAACTGTGCAACAGCAGTAACAAAAAAAAAACAACAGCAGCGACGCACACAAAAAAAGTAATGAACGAATAACTCGATATGAACTGAATCGAGTCGTTGTTGACGATAATGATGTTGATGATATGTGAGCGCATAGGATTTTATAGAGAGGACGATTGCATTGCTGTGGACGAACGTGATTATTTAATGCGTCATCTTTTCGATCGCTACTAAATAATATTTTTTTATGCATAATTCAATGAAAAACATTGGCCACCCAGAACATAACAAAATGCATGCAAAAATGCGAATGCGTGCATAGTGTCAGATAGTCGGTAAGAAATGTTTGTGCTTCAATTTCTTTTTTTTTCTCTCTCTCTCTCGCTCTCTATATTGCAAAATAGCTGTTCACACAATTTATGCATATTTGCTCGCATTGTATCGATTTCGATGTCTCGTGTGCGATTGAACAAAGTTAGTTCCAACCAACTAACGAACTATTCGGTTCGGCTCTGACATCGGAAAATCGACTCTGACTGAATGCTAAAGAAGAATATGATATGAAATGCAACAGCCAGTATTCAATATCAACATGAAATTTCAACATGAATTTATGATATTAAATACCATTAGATGGAGTCTTTTCGATGCATAAATTAGATAAAATGTCATAACTGCAAACTAATATGTGAAATTTCCAACGCAAAGCAATGCCATGTACGATGGTGTTCTGTATTGGTGCCCGTCATTTATTTCATTTGCTCTTGCTCCCGCTCCCACTCTCTCTCTCTCCCCCCGTTGCTCGGTTGCTCATCGTGTTCCTTTCTCGATTATTATTATTGTGCCTGGCGTTTTATACATTGTTCACAGCAAATTATGCATATTCTGGTTTCACTTTGCGCCATTGTTATTGCATTGTTCACATTACTCTATGGCAATGGTACCATGCCTGTTGACTATGCATTTTCGATTTTAAGACGGTGGTAGTTTTTGGATATGGGCCTCGGTAGTTAATATAAAGTGTTACAGGGGCGCCACTTTGAACATACAGTTCAGTGGTCAAATTAAAATACATTGTATTTAAATAGTATGCCCTGGCATTGCTTTATGGTTTCGATGAACATTTTTTTTTGTGTCGTTGCTGTTCACTGTTCATTATTTTCGTCATTGTTGTCGCTGATTTTTTTTGTTGTTGTTTATTTAGTTCACATAAAGAATGGTGTATTTATTTGTGTTTCTCACATGACGCACCGCGAGTGAGAGTAAATGCTTGAAAAATGGAAAATCGACATTGATGGAGCTCGACAGAAGCAACGATAACAGTGACGAAAAAAAAGGCAAAAGCAACGTTGCAACCAAAAACAAAATAAACCAAATACACTTCATACGAAACAACAAACTCGAAACTACTGTCACCAATATCAAATTGAAAATTGCACATGAATTTAAATTGCTGTGTGCACTTCGATTTTATGCCGACACAAACACACACACAAAGCAAAAGAGGCTAAGGTGGCAAATTATGAAAGTGCAGGTACACTTGAGCTCTGGCTTTTTGTCAATATATATAGTTTTTTTTTGTTTTTGCTAATGACATAAACATGCATAAATCGGCGGCAGCATTTTGCATATCTTTTTCCACATAAATTGGAAAAAGAGAAGTGTGGTGTTGCTGCTGTTTCTGTTGTTGAGCTTAACACCCGCTCTCTTCATTTCCGTGTGCATTTTCAGTTGGCATTTGTGTGTGCATTCAAAATTGGTTTCGTTAGTCTTTTTTTTAATGTTTATGTGTGTGTGTGTTATATTCCTTGCCGACACCATCAACTTAATTTATTGGAGAAAAATATGAACTGTAATTGGGCACAGAGTAGCTGTGGTATAAATTACGCGCAAGCACTTATTACAAAATTTATATTCGAATTGAGTAAACGTGAATAACGAGAGAGAGAGAGCGCGCGCGCATTTGACACAACAGCAAAGAGTGCTTGTCGTTTTGATTAAACGGGATAAAAAACTGCGATGTTTCATGAAGAAAAAAAAACCCCACTAAACTGAATAAAAGTGAAGTAACAACAACATTAACTTACCTGTTTCACACGGACTTTAACTCTGGCTTTGCTCGGTTGACTGTGACGATTTGATGGACTGGTGCCGCGATCATTGGCGATTACAATCAATTCGTGCAGTGACTTTTCAATATATTTTAATGGTCGTGTCAACGATATCACACCACTGCTTGGATGTACGCTGAACCAATCAGTCTCTTCTAAAAAACTATAATAAATTTCACCATTTATACCTAGATCGGCATCCTCTGCCATCACCTTAACGATATTTTGATGCAGTGCCATATCTTCGGGCACCGTTATCGCATATTCATTTGGATAGAACAATGGACTTAAATCGTTCGTATCGAGCACGATTACATTAATGATACATTCATCCTCTTGTACAATTTTTGTTTTGTAATCGTGTCGTGTGCCAGTCGCTCGAACTTTTAAATGGTACGAATCGATTTTTTCGCGATTTAAAACTACATTTCCGGTTCGGGTGCGTATGGCTAAGAATGTGAAATCGCCAACGGTACGCTCTTCAGCTTTGAATAATTTATCCTTATCGCCGGCAATAATGCGATACTTAATATCGATATCAGGCGCCGATGAAATTCCCATACGTGCCTCATTTGATGGTTGTGCAGCGTATGTTTTGCCCACACTATTTTCACGAATCGACACATTGTACACACGATATTTGAATTTAAATGGAGGCAACTGTGGTGTTTGATACGTTTGCTGCTGTTGCTGCTGATGTTGCGGCTGCGATTGTGGCTGATGATGATGCAAACCATACAGAGCTGGCGATATGGCCGTTGATGAAACTGGAAAATCATCAACATTTGATATATCTATATTGGTAAGAAAATCAAGACAGAGAGAAACTACAATCAATTCACATAACATATTTTCCATTTGAAAATTGTAACATCTAATCGCATATCGATTTATGTAATTTGCACATATTCAAGACTCAAAACTCATCGATTATTGTTATATTATTTGAAAATTTACATTTGAATACGGAAAACAATTTGTACGTTTTCATTCAGAAATGCGAACACAATGAAATGCCCACTTACCGGGATCGGATGATGGTGTTGTATCAGCGGCACGAATCCCAATCAGCGTTAATATTAACAGGAGTTTGATGAATGAGCGGCATGTTGACCGTGCTATGCATACATTGAGAATCATTTTATTGTCATGCGGGCTAGCTCATTTTGTGGTCTTCGGCTAGAAAAGAGAGAAAAAAATGTGAACAAAAGCAAAAATTAGAAGGAATCTCATTAAAAGTCATTTTTAATGTGCGTTCATTTAAATTATAATGAAAATGGCTAAAAGGTATTTGGTTTTTTTTTTGTGTGTGTGTTGTTTTTCGGTTAGCCCCAAAAATGCACCACACATATATTTTATTGAGTTTGACATGGAAAGACAATGTTATTGCGTTGATTATTGAGCTATGTATTTTGGAGCTTTTTATGACACTGCCATTTTTCTGCCCCCGTTGAAACCATTCATTCAAACGTTTGTTTAATATTCATTGAATTAACCCGAGCGATGTGGATGTGCGTTCATTTGTGCAAATGGCCATTTTACTGTGTGACATATTCACACTTTGTTATTAATTTCATCAATCACTGATGATGAATAGAAACTGATGCACAACTAATGAAAATATGTTTTCAAAAAATTAATGAAACGCTTTGTATTCAGATTGCATGGCACATTTTTTTGACCAATTGGTTGGCGGTAATGTACGTGTGTTTCGCATTGTTTTTCATGCACTGTCGATATATATATAAAAAAGATTGGTAGCGGTTAGCCAACAGCAATTATATGACCAAATATTTGACGTTGAAACCACGAGAAAAAGAACTCATTTTGAATTAAAACTTGTTATACACATATTAACTAAAACACACAAAACAGATGTTGCAATTAAAATTCATGAACTCATTTCAATCGTTTGAATTATACTGCGCATATATATATTTTTTTGTTTTCATTTCGATTTCATTTGAAAATCAACGAATCCAAATATAAATTATGTCTTTGCAATGAATCGCAAATGACGTAACTCATTTTATATGTGTTAAATTTATCACATGGAAAAGATCAAAGCGTTCGAAACAAAGTTCAGCAATTTAACTAGATTTGAAATCAGCATAGTAATTGTTATATTAATCATTTGCTATTATAAAAGAATACTTCAAAGAAGTGCGATGACAAATGGAATGGGAATTCATTTCGAAATGTGTTGGTAAGAATGGATCAGGAATTCGGTCGAATTATTCAAAGTCAAAAGAAAAACAACTGCTAAAAATCACAAAAAAAAAACATTGCATCCATAAACAAAAAGTCATCAAGTCAAATTGTAAACCATTTCGGGGAACAGTCGAAAAAAGTCCATAATCATGAAAACCAAATAAATCACATTTGGGCCAGCAAAATAACGAACACCCAAAAGTGCACGACATATGCAGAAAAAAAGTGCGGGACTCATAGCTTCCAAAGTTGACGATCCAAGGGGAGTGCATAGATTCAAAAGTCCTACCAACAATTTTGAGGAATAATTAAAAAAAATTCTAGCAATTTGTAATAGTGTATAGCGGCAAATTCAAATTCACTCACAGGGGAGGGGTTAATTTTACCGCTTGGACCCCTGGTGAGAAGCTAAGACGGAATTATCCACAATTGATTCGATGTAATAAGCGAAATGCATTTGCATTGGGCCAAATTTGGATGGCTTATTTTTTGAATGAACAAGCGAAAGAAAAAATCATCGCGAAAAAACGCGCAAAATTGAATTGAATGTGTTGAATGCCAAAAGCGTTTTGTTTTTCTTATCCAAAGCGATTTATATATGCGTAAAATAAATCCAGGAATTTTGATTGTGAGGCCATTAAGTGATTGCATATTTGTGCAAAGTGTTTTAATCGTTTCGTTGCCAAAATGAGAGCATGCACAAGCAAAAAGTGCACATCGAGCGTTCATTGTGCATATGACATTTTCCGTGGGGGCAATTCCAAAAAACGCGCGCGCGCACACCCACCAAAAAAAAAAAAAAAAAACGGCCAAAATTAAGGTAATTCATGGTTTCTCAGTCTTTTGCATGTCTTGGCGCATATCATAATGTCATTTACAGTTCGATCGTTTTATATACGGTTGTTGCATTTCATTTCCCCAAAGAATGTAGAGAGAGAAAAGAAATGCAATTTATCTCGTGCGCTTTCCATATTTGTCGAAAATCAGCTCTTTTAAATAATAAATAAGCATTCACTTTTTAATAGCCCGTGATTAAACCTTTATTATGCCATAAACAATGGGGACTACAGTCTGTGTACAGACATACAGAAAATCGATCCAAAGTGCCGAAAAATGTCGACTTTTAATCCTGCATTTCAATATACACACACACCAAGTATAAATTATAATATCTGGATATTGATTGTGTATAAAAAAAATAATAAAAGCAACGAACGCAACATGGCTCAACGATTTCATATACATAGAAATGAATTTATTGTTGTTGCGAAGCGTGTATGATGTGTGCTACTGCCATGCACTTACGTCGCACTTCAATTCTATAGCCAATAAATTATTATGAATAACGTGTTCATACGCGAAGAGCTCAATCACAACCGTTTATTTTTGTGTGTTTCATCTCCATTTTCATAAAGTAATAAACCGAAATACCAAAACCATTATTCAACTACTACTTATGCAAAATTGTCTTTTATTGACCGCGTTTTTTCTTATTCTTCTTCGCGTTCTCTCAACTCGATTTCATTACAAACTCAATAAGGTGTGCTCGTTTTGTTTTTGTTATTGGTGTTGCTGTGATGATGTGTGTTTGGGGTCGAATGCATTGATTGTTCATTCAAGAGAGTTCAGCATCGTAAAACACACAATTAGTTTTTTTTTGTTTTTCGTTTTTCTTCGTCTGAGTCACAAAATTGCATAATATGACCGCTTGACTTGATTTTTACAGCTTACAATTACTGCTTATGAACTTTTTAAATAAATTACAGCAACAACAAAAAAAGCGTTTACTTCTGTTTCAAAGTATAACGAAACGTGATTGTTGCCAATCACGATAACCAATAACATTTGACAAGTGTTTGTTAGCGCGAAGTGTGTGTGCATGCCTGTGGCTGTATTTCCAATTTAAATATTCGAACAATAATCAACAATTCAATTAATTTGTTGAACATGATGATTAATGGCTGGATGTAAAAAGCAATGGAATACAAATAAATGTAAAAAAAAAATATATATGAGAGCAAAGATTCTGCAAATTTACAATGAACTGACCGAGATTTACTCAATTTTATAGACCGAGAGACAGCAAAAAAATATGAATACGAACGATTCGTGTCGTAAAATCACAAAGAATGAATATGCATTGTGTAAAATGGTTCAGTCAAAGCAAGAAATTGATCGAAAATCAGCCGGCGTCTGTCAATTCATCGCTCAAGTAATCATTATGCACTCAAATGAAAACAAAAAAATGAAACCGTAACGACATCAGAAAGCTGTGAAGCAGCTAAAAAAATTGCATAAAAAAATGAATACGAGATACTTTTTATGTCTTGTTAATCGAACCGTTAATCTCAAAAACTAATGCCCAATCGCAATAGACTCTATTGTGGCAAGTGAACAGCAGCAAATCAGAGGAGACAGAAAGAGAGAGAAAGATAGAGCAACAGAGAGCAAGATAGAGGAAGCGAGAGAGCGTAATAAAATCAATTTTAAAATCCCCCGGCCAACGGATTAAAACATTTCTTTTTTCTTCTCCATTCATAAATAATATTTCGAAAATTATTATATATATTTTATGCATTGAAATTCCCTTGCTTCTCATTTTATGGGTCGGGATGTTTTCTTCCTTCTTCTTTTTAATTCCATTGTGCGCATTTCAAATGCCTGTATGCAAGCAAACGAAGTCTCAACATTGTGAAGGCGAAGAAAATAAAGCAGAAAGCAGAGTGAACGAGGGAGAAAGAGTGATAGAGCAAAAAAAAACCACAACAACAACAACTATTGAATGCGAATCATGCAAAGTACTCAGAAATGCAGAAAGGGATAGACGAGAAAGAGAACGAAAATATTTGAAATGCAAAGAAATAGTTAAATTGGAACGCAGAAAGGCATACCGAAATATTATTTATGTTAACCATAAATCTATCATTGCTAAAATTAAAATGGAATTCAAGCAGAGTGTACACAATGTACACAAAAGACAGCCAATTCATACTCTTTTCTCCCTCTCTCTTCCTTTTGCACACACACACAATGATTAATTCTTGCAAAACAACTCTTCCTCGATATTTTTCTCATATGTAAAAGCAACAGCATCGTCTTCCTCATCTTCATCGTCGTCAATGGAACAAATAGCCAAGAGAGTCAGAAGAAAATCAAACAACATCAATTGAATGGAGGGCAATAAGGGCTTTGGAGACTTTGATCTCTGTTTTTCCCAAAAGAGTATGATCATTCCGTTGTGTGTGTGTGTTTCATCGTAAAATAGAAAAACAAGAAAGAAACTGGAATCAATACAAACGGCAATACACTCGAACCAAAAGAATTCCATCTGAAATGCAAATCAATCGTTCCTAGAAAAAGACGAACACGAAATTTCAATGCACTCGTGTTTTTTTTTCTCATCTCTCGTCCTATTTGGTCATTGTATCGGCACGGTAAAAATTCAATCGATTTAATTGAACAAGTGTTGTCATTTTATAAGGCAATTTCGTTCAATTTAAACAGAAATATGTGATTTTATGGCCAAATAAAATGAATTACATTTCATCCATATAAATTGGAATGTCGAATAGATCATTAATTTAAATTATAGCGTCATCATTACAGTGTGGCCGTTAAAAATTGCCAAAAGGGTCGTTGTATGTTTGAAATTTATTTATTTCTCGTTGTTGTGTGTTTTTTGGTTGATGCAGTCAAAGTAAAAATACTGCACATAATGCAGCAATGAAAAATGGAAATTTTCATTAAAAACAATCACGGCAAAATGTGTGTGTGTGTGAGCTTGAGCGAGCTGTGCACACAATTCACTTTCATTTGATGGTGGCGAGAGAAAAAAAACGGCACTCGGCTCCACAGCACCAAGGGCATCGGTCAATAATGTTGTAGCCCTTTTTATTGCACATTTCAGTTTTTATTGTTATTGTTTTGGCATTTCAAACAGCCAGTACAACACACGCGCTCACGTGTAA